CTCTTCTGTCGTCTGCAGCAGCCCAAGGGGTCGTCCTCCGTCCGGGAAGATGTCCTGCTACGGGGACTCAGGCTGCTTTTGACCCCAGTCGGGTATGTGGCAACTAGCAACATAATAATATGTGGCATGTTTTTGTTCTGTGTGGAGTATGTGCAATTGTCTGTCTATGACGTTTTTAGATTTGTCTCTAGTTGCAGGGCCCTTAATGTGGTCTGCTCTGTCTGTTTTTTCTTAGACCCCAGTCGGGTATGTGGCAACCAGCATCATATATGCCTTGGTTTTGTTCTGTGTGTAATTGTCTGTTAGTAGCATTGTTAGATTAGTCTCTGATTGTAGGCCCTTTATGTGGTCTACCCTGTCTGTTTCCTTTTAGTGGTAGGCCTGCAGTACTTATGATAAAATTAATTTGCAAGTCTATTACTGGTGAAATATTGTACCGAGTTGTCTTTAACTTAAGATTTCCATATCCATGTCTGTCTCTATTCTTCTCTTAGTCCCTGTCTCTTCCTGTCTCTCACAATCATCACTTCAGACCCAGCAGCAGCAATCAAAACGACCAAGAACACATAAAAATCAAGAAGCAATGACATAACTGCACCAATGCGCACCATTTAGCTTACTCTCAGCGCAACAGTCACTGTCTCAACCGTTGTACTGTAGCAAGTACATCATCCATCAGCTCACGTCTCTCCTCCACACCCCCTCCCCTCAATAACTCTTCACAATCGTTTTGCCTCGGTTCCCTCACGTACTTTACATTAATCCCCCCCCACACACCTCCCCCCTCCCCTACAGTACCTGGGTACGTGGTACGAGTACGAGCGCTTCGACAACTGGTTCGAGGCGGGCATGGACTGTGTGAGAGCCGAGTACGGCCTGAACCCTGACCAGACCATCAGTGTTCTCAACGCCGGCACCAGGAGCTTTAAGCTGTGAGTAGAAGCCTGTAGAATATACAATGTAGATTGGGAAAATAGATGGATGTACATAGGGAAATATGCCAAATAAGAGGCCTGACATCCAAAACATTATTTATCAACAGCTAAATTGTAAGAAACGGGCGAAGGTAGACTTACAAAGTCAACATAAAGAACTTGCACAGGTTAGTATGTGCCGTACCTATGTGTTTACCGAACTGTTGTGTTCTTAACAAGTACTTGTACTACCATCGTCATCATAATCATAATTAGGGAGGAAAAATAATAAGGGAAGAAAAGCAATAACGTTTGAAAAATACTTAAATTAAAGATAGGTATATCCTATGCTGCAAGGGTAAAGCCAACTGCACACATCATACTCCCATTTAGTCAAAGGAAGAACAAACTCACCAGTCCCCTCTGTCCCACCCCACCAGGTTCGGACGTACTATCTTCAGCCGGCCGGCCTCCATCAACGGTGACGCTACCACACCGGACCCTGCTTCCCCCGCCCAGCTCAAAGTGTCCTTCTCACAATGTAAGTTTTCACCTCACTTTCTCTGACGGAGATTTTACAAGGCACTTACTGTCTTCCCTTTCAGTTTCTTTGTTGAAAACGTGGAACGTTTGACGGGTAAAACATTCAGAATGGTACCAACATTATGGCAAATCAAAAATATGTATGCATTATAATACTCTTTGGCCCAAGTCATGATAGCATTCGTTACTGAAAAGTGGGTGGGGAGTTTTTGCAAAAACTGCAGTAACGGCATAATATATACTGTATTTGTCCTATGAATGTCAATGGATGAAACATGTTTACTGAGAGGGAAACTTTCACACAAGAACTGGCGTGCAGATATCTCACCTAGCACTTTTGCTAGATTTCAGAGGAGATGATTTTGGTTCAAATACTTAATGGGGCTTTGTGGAACTTGGAATATTGATTTAATCGAAGAATTATCAAGGCTCTTAATCTCTCCTATGAGAAGCATACGTTTGATTCGTAGATCCTACCTCTTTAATCACTATATGAAGTTTCTAATGGCACAAAGCTTCTACCATATCATATCACAGCATGTATAACTTATAACCAAGTTTTCACTGAACTGTTCCAGTTGACGGTATTGGTGGCAATGAGCCCAACTACTACATCGTGGAGACGGACTACGACAATTACGCGGTTGTCTTCTCTTGTTTCGACCTGCCTGGACTGCCTGTGAATATCCGTAAGTAGACAAGAGCTTGTTTGTTTGAGTTTTGAATTTTACAGTCCTTTTCAACCACTGTAAACATTTTGACGAAGATAATACCTGGGGGATGGGACGCAATGAATACCCCCCCAAAAACCCAAAACATCTCGGCGTGGATTTGAACGTTATCTATTTACACTTTAGGAAGATGTTTTACCCCCCAAAGGCTGTTCATAAAAACACTTCTACCAATCTCTGGAGATTTACATCTCTCTTGAAATAGCAAGGTTAGTTAAGTCTCTATAGAAACAAACCATTAAAATTCATTGCAGTCTCGCTGTACTGTAATACTTTAAAGTACATGTTGTTACATTTTGCTTGTTACAAGTTCTTCATTTTTTCTCTCCCAATTCCAGAGTTTGCGTGGATCCTGACCAGAGACAGAGGGGTAGCCCCTGCTAACCTGAACGCCATCAAAAACAACCTCCAAGCTGCTGGCGTCAGAACGAGATACTTCAAATCTGTGAACCAAGCTGACTGTCCTGTAGCATAAATCTCATGTCTGTTCTTTTGTCTCAAACCGAATCCATTTGAGACCAATATTGTCCAACTATTATGTACTATGTATCCAGTTTTTAGCACTCTCCTCTAGGAAGCGGAGTACAAATTGTATTGACTGTTAGTTATATGTATTCATAAGATAAGCTTCTCGTGTAGTTTTTATTTTTTCAACACATATTTAATGTTGTTCTCGTTAGTTTGGGTACTGACAATATCGTGGCAGCAATCAGGAATGATATGACTATGACATGTTCAGATTTTTTATGACTTTTCCTTCTTGTCAAGAGCTCTGTGATAAATATGACATGAAAATTATTATATATATATATATATATATATATATATATATATATATATATATATATATATATATATATATATATGACAGAGTGAAGCAGACCGAAGAGTTTGAAAGAGAAAGAAGGGTTGAGAGAGAGAGAGAGAGAGAGAGAGAGAGAGAGAGAGAGAGAGAGAGAGAGAAAGAGAGAGAGAGAGAGAGAGAGAGAAAGAGAGAGAGAGAGAGAGAGAGAGAGAGAGAGAGAGAGAGAGAGAGAGAGAGAGAGAGAGAGAGAGAGAGAGAGAGAGAGAGAGAGATTTTTTAAAACGAACAAGGCAGCATGATCTGTACTTCTACTTTTTGTAAAAAAAAAAAAAAGGTTATAAACTTGCTGTCGAAAAGTATCTTGTGTCTCAAAGTTCCATTTTATCTTCATGTGGACAAAATTCAAACTAACAGTTAAGTTCTATTATTATGAACGGCAGATTTTGGAATGTCTCTTATGTTCAACAAGCACTGAACTATTTTATTATCTGAGAAGTCAAAGATGAACCATTCGCATAGATAGTGTAATGCCAAACTACAATGCGGGTGACCTTGGATCAGAATCAAAACCAGGCTTTCTGGAACTTGGTTTTGAGAGTGTTCATTGTTCTCTGGGTTGATAAATGTTAGGTGAAAAGGTGAAATGGTGAAATGGTAAAGGTTTAACACCCCTATCAACACTATTAGGTGTGACCTCCGAGTTTTAACGTCCATCTCCGGAAGGACCGAGATAAGTGGGAAATTCGTGTAAAGTGCCTTTCCCAAGGACACAACATCGGACCGAGCTGAGGCTCGAACCCCCGAACCCGCAATCTCACGATTACGAGTCCCGTAGCCTCACCACCTGGTTACCGACGCCACCCTAGAAAAAAATGGTGAAATGGTATAGGTTTAACGCCCCTTTCAACACTATTAGACGCCACCCTAGGTAGTTTAGAGTGTTAATTGATCTCTGGGTTGTTTGGGAGGGTTAATTGTTTCCTGGCCTCTAGGATATATAATTATGTCTATTTGCCTTAGATTTATGTACAAAATTGGTATAATTGCAGACAGTACATCGTCCATAGTTGCTCTCCCCTTCTCCTCGGAATACACCTCAGTCCATCCGCTTATTGTCCCAGGTAGAATTTGGTAGAAGAACCGTCATGGATCTGTTCAATCAGAGAGGATGTGAAATCGGAGTTCCCAAGCCATAAATGACATTATAGGGTTGAAAAGAGTGTTATACCCCACGATATAACATCAAGATGCGCTTTGCCATGTATTGATTGGTTTAGAGTCTGGCATATTAGCTTTTTACCATCTTTGCTGCGGCCACCATAGTATTCAGTCACACGTTAAGTCCTATTTTGGAACCAAGGAAGTGACATCAAAACACGTTAAAGTATCATAAGAATACATTGAATTAAAAGACTGGCCAGTGTTTCGATGCATGACTGGCACTGTTTTTTTTTTCTTTCTATAGTAGAGGTTTTGCGGCGCTCGAAACTGCATAAGGTCATATGAGCGCCAAGGGGTAGGTGTCAACAGAGAAGTCTTTACAAGGAATCGGGCTTACTCTGCTCACCTCTCTAGCTTCAACAGCACAAAATCTGTTTCGACTTTCAAGGCACCCTGGAAATAGCAGGTCACAACAGTGTGACAAACATACAAAAGAAGTACAGGAAAATGATAGTAAGGATTACCAACGAAAAAGCAGCAGTTCCCTGTTGTAGGTCAGGCACAGTTATGAACCTGATATTGATTAATCAGCTCATTTACAATTCTACTGTGCATAAGAACGAGAAATGTCCCCCTTTGGGAATGGCCTAAAGACACTTCAGTCATAGCACTGTTTGATCTTGTCAGTGTTGTTAGGGGCAATGATCTCAGACCCATACGTCGTCTACTACTCAAACGAGTAGAAGATATAAACTGTGTTTCTCATACTTGATGCAACTTCAACTATGTGTGTCCGGGCTCAGGGCAAACTGCTATATGATAAACGGTACAGAGAAAAGGCTTTTTAGTTTTTAATACAGGGAAGCACATTGACACAGTAACAGTCATTTATTGCCAAGAAAAAGCTTAAAAGACAGAAACAACATCGGGAAAGTAGAGAAGTAGGACTTATCAGTAGCACCTTCCAACCACTACAAAAGAAAAACCAGGAAGCCAAAAACAAGAGAAGGACAGAAAAAGAAAAGCTGCCGGTGAATGAGGAAGTTCAGATTACTTGTACACTGTACGATTCAAACCACATGCACTGAAAAAAAAATATACAAGAGATAAAAAACATTTGGTTTGGCATTGAGAATGAATACTTGTAATTTGAAACAAAAACGAGATATTGAAAAACAGTCAAATGCGTACCATATTAGCATTACGCTCCTTGACATGAACAGAAGCAGAAAGGTTAGTATTTTAACACCAGCTCTTTGCGGCAAAACAATTTGTTCCCTTGAGTCCTTGTGATACAAACTTACAAGGAAAAATACCTTAATTTAGTTAATTTTCAACAAACATATCTAGAACTTTACTTAATAAATACACTAAAAAGTTTGTTATGATAACATTAGATATACGAGTATACCCCCTTCCTTCTCTTTCAAAAAAAAAAAAAAGGACTCCACTGCATATTGTAGCTTCTCGGGCTGACTTGCAATGATGTTTCATGCTCGAATGAACAATAAAATATCAGAGGAGCATAATTCCCACACTAAAAACCTCAGTCTTTAGGCTGGAGGCTTTCTACGAAAGGAGAAAAGCACTACATGCTCTACTTACAAAATCAAGTTTTATACATTTTTGTACTAGAGACCTTGCGGCACTTTTCAAATCAAATTTTTACAAATTTCACAGGTAGAACCCTGGTTCCAGTATTGGAGTCACTCTGCCATGCTGCATACAGCATTCAAGACAATCAAGATTAGGACAGCTTTTATTTGTTTCGATACCACCCCAAACACAACCTCAGCCTTTCTATTAGTAAGGTGACAAGGTAGTGGGCAGCCACTTGCAACATGTCTACACAGCTAGCTTTGCATCGAAAAGCAGTGCCAGCAAATGATTGACAAACGTTAACATTTTTCAAAAAAGGATGTGGCAGAGGGATCACTTGGGGGGGAAATTTCTAAACTACTATCTGGCATTTCAGATGTTTTTTTTACTCCTAGCTCAATCTTTGCACAGAGTCATTTTAGAACAACTGGAGATGCTACAAGAGCTGTTCAAAGTCCTGTAATGGACAAGATTTACAGACTGAATACCAAGGGAAATGCAGAAATTGGACAGATTTGAGATAACAAAGTAACATTGTGAGGCCAATACGCATATTTAATAAGGTGAAATACTTTTTCAGTATACACAAGTAAAAAAATACAAGTGAGAATTGACAGTGAGTTGTCATTTTGCAAGTCAGGGCCACATGACAACATCTCGATAAGCTTTCTGTACAAATTCCACTTCAATGAGAGATGCATCAAAGTTCATTGTTGTCTTCTTATGGCGCTCATATACAAAAGCATGCATCATTGCTCAAGCACACGAACTCAAGCATGAATAATATGACATTTACTTTGACATATATATGCAAACACACCTATGGCGACTTGCACAAATAGTTTTGAAGTTAAAGGCAATCTGATTTCAGGAAGCCATTACACTGGATTGGACTGGCTTCAATTTCAACAACAAAAGCAGCAAACAGTGTGCGAAGAAGTTTAAACATATTATCCATTCATTACTTCTATTTTCAACTCATGCCACCACATCAATTTGTCACATGTCTCTTAACTACACCGTTCATCTGAATCACAACTCTCACTTTCATTCACGTTTCTCAAAATCACATCGCACTAAACCACATGGTTCATTTATCACAAGTCTTCAACACAAGCTTCTTTCATCATATCTCTCTTCACCGTTATATAATGATTACATTATTATCTTAAAATACACAGATCATTTATTACATCACTATTAACTAATTCCATTCCCACAAACATCTGTCTTAAATACAGTGTTCATCAAAGACGTCTTTCTTAAACACAACTTTCACTAATTGCATCTTTCTTCTTTTTCCTTCAATGCCAAAAACCTCTGTAGCACGCTCTATTGAAGCAAACACAGCAAAAACATACAGCAGATAAAACAACATTACACAGCATACCAATTTACTGGAATGATCAGAAGTACTTTCACACTTTTCAGAAGATAATAATATCTCAGACCAACTAAATCATGCTTAGGTCATCATAACACGCCAGAAGATACGAGCATATATATATATACATAGTACATGTAACACATTAGAGTTTGGATGTCTTTCCACACCGGCAACATTGAGGTGGACTCTTGATCTCTTTAGCAAAATATTTATGGGTACATGTATTTCTTTAGAACACTTGAACTTATAAATATTACAATATAACATGTAGTACTGAATTGAAAGTTACAATTGCTATCAACAGATGGGATCTGCAAACGAAAATCAAACCTGACAGGACGGAGAAGAAAACCCTCACAACTTTCCCAACAAACCAGACTGATGATCAGCCTCGTACGGATTCAAATATGTTTCAAAGTCAGGCTTTCAGAAACAAAAACAAGGAAGCACATAATTTCTCTTATTAGCTGTTATCATAATATTATCACACTGAAGTCCTTTCCAAATTTCTCCATGTCATGTCCTTTTCCTATTTATACGTCAGAATTCAGTTTAACATGTTTCTATAGCTGCCAAACAGATGCGCTTCCAGCCAACATTGTCCTGTGAAGCCATGGGTGTCAGTGTCCTCGAGTTATGTGTTCCCTATTAACCCTTCGGCTGCATGTTCCACAATCACACCAAAGAGCTTTAAATAATGCTTTCATTCCAGGCAGTGAAGGGGTAAACTTAGAGGCAAAATGATCCCTGAATGGGATAACAGCCTCCTACTTTATCATTTAATCTACAGCATAGAAATCCCACGGTAAAGCCCAGAATCAGGCATTGATTATGCTTTGTACAGGAATCAATCACACCACCACAGTTTCAACAAACACGAGCCCAAGTTATCATCTCACTAGACTCAAACACTTGTCAACAAGCCTATAACAACCTTCATTTATCATCCTTCACCACTTCTAATCTTCCTCTTTTCTCCTTTAAAAAACTTATGGCATCTGTTTAGATCACAACATTCAACACTACAGAAATACTAGATAATAGAATATCTTTCATGAAATCGTGATTGCTGCAGCTGGGATAAGGAACGAGTCTAACAGTGAGGGAAAGAAACACAATAGTAGAACAAAGAACAGAAGCAAGACTGAGTAGGGTTAGATATGTGTGAAAGGAGGGATTTAGGATGGAACCAGGGAGGAAAAAGAAGGAGCCCCAAGGAAGGAAGAGAAGAGGCAGACCTCACAAGGGGTTCATGGAAGATGAGTGCATGGACATTGGGCTGTCCAATAGTAACCAGGTTCAGCCTGACAGCTCACCACTGATTGATTTCCTGTCATGTTAACGGGTTCCTTCGTTTAGAGGTAGACAGAATGCTTGTCTGTCATGTGAAATAGGCCTCTTTATATCACCCCTATTTTATGCAGGAATTACTGACAGATACTTCGGTACCATTTTTTCAATCTGTCACAACCTGGATCCCAGTGCAGAAAGGACAAACTCATTTTTGTAAGACCTTGCAGAATAAAAAGGAAAATTAATACTGTACTTTGTTCGTTGCGACCCAAATCACAAGCAAATGGGACTACCTTGCACGACAGTCCATGTCATGCTGCCTTCATTCCCACACAGAAACATCTCAATCTCATTCATAAATTATACCATACTTCACTTTCAAAGGGTCGCTTTTAAGGACAAGCGGGCTAACCCTGATTTCAGGGTTTTCCTGAAATCTTGACCTACACCAAAAGTGGGTATTGCCCTACCTATAGGAGAAGTTTGGTTTCATTGGGGTGAATATTTGTTTGGTTATAAAGAAAACTCTCCTTGTCTGAACAAAACTGAACAAGGGGCAAAAACTTTACCTTCGATTTTCTCAAAACAACATTTTTCGGGATAGCCCACTTGTGCTTAAAAGCGACCAAATCAAAGGACTATTGTTCGGGGTGCTATAAAGACATACCAAATTTTCCACAGACAGCTGGAACGTGTCCTTAAAAATAAACTCAGAACTACATTCTGTTGTGGAAAAAGCACTTCAAACGGGACTTTCAGTACATGTAAGGGGCCATAAGGTACAGTTGTCAAATGTTGTACTCTTTCAAAGAAGTTCTCTCTATAAAATAGAATTTCAGCGTAACTTTTATTTTCAATGGGAATTCAATTATGAAAAAAAAATGTTGCAATGTTTTTCGGTTTTGGACTTAAAAGCTGAATTACCCAAGGCCCTATGGAAGGTGAAATTTGATTTTTTTTAATGACTGTATCCAGTGCTTATCCTATAAGCATCATAAACAGAGTTAAACAAAAATTAAAAGCTCAGAGAATCCAGAACTTTAAAATTTCAGAGTTACTAGGACAAGAGGCACCACTAAGCCATTTCATTAATCAGGTTGGTGGATGGAAGGACTAGTTCTTGCCTGACAGGTGACCATTGAGAGGAACGGACACGCTGTGGGCTGCTCAGTCGCTATCAGAAAAGTCGTCTGCACTGTCCGAGTCTGAATCCTTGGCCTCTTCCTGTGGTGCTGGCGCGCCTGATGGGGCCGGGGCGTCCGGTGTGCTGGGGAGGTACATGAGATACGTTGTAAATTTGGTAGGGAGCAAAGTCTTCTCTTTAATCTTTTTGCCAGCCAGTAACATAGGCATTAATTTTTCTTTGTTTCGTTTTCATGTTCCCTGTCCTGATTTTGGTGCCGATATTTGTAAGTTACATAAAAATGAGCCAACATGTACAAATTGTTATGCTTCAAGAAAAACAAAACAAGAAAAAGGGGATGCGATGATGATGATGATGATGATGATGAAACAAAGGTATTAATTATTCTCAAGCAGCTAAACTGATTTGCTTTCAGAAATATTGCTGAACGTCTTTTCCTTGTTTCAATTATCTATAGTGCACATTCAGTCTGGTGTGTATTCACATTCCAAGGTCTTTGAGAATCATCCACTATAAGATGCCATCTAATTTGTCCCTTTGTTCAATTAAGTCACACGCTAATAAAATCCAAAAACTTGTAGGTCCAATCCCACCAAAATATGTGCTCAAGAGTTACAGCATTTAGGATCATTCCATTATACAGACTAGAACAGCTTCCTTCATCCTTTTTCCTTGATGAAATAAAGAATCTTGACAAGAAATTTTTTTTAAAAAAGCTCTTCTACTCACTCTAGTAACTCAGGGTCCAGGCCCGCTAATACCATCTTTCCTTTCACTGCTTGTGCAACAACCCCCTGGAAGTAAAGAATGACAAAAAAAGGTCAACACTGTATCAAGCAAACTTAGAAAGTAGAACACGGCATAAGAGAAAAATATGTAGGCTTCCTGTTGTCAATCTTTATAATGGGATAACTTGTTTAATTGAATACGAATAGTCGGGCACTTGATACTTAATATTCCTGACTGAATAATGACTGATATTGATATTCATTCAAAAAAGTTTTTCGCAGGTAACTTTAAAATGCTTATATATTTGCTTTCTACTGTGCGCAGAAAAAATACTTTTCCAATACAGACTTACAAAGTACTCATTACTGTTAGCTTGATATATATATATATTTTGCTTCAAACGAAATGTTCATTTAACTTTTTATTTCTGCAAATTTTTGTAAACAGTATTTTGACAATAAAACATGGGCAGAAAATTTATCGACATTGACGATTAAAAAACAACAACACAGGCTTACAACTCTGAGCATCTTGAAAAATGGCATATATCTTGGGTCTTGAGACACTGTGTTCTGTGGGGGCGCTTCTTCTACTGGGGGTGCTGGAGCTGCCTCCTGGAAAAAATTTGTGAGAGTAAAATTGTGATAATCGTAGTCATTACTTCAAATAAAAGACTTACACGACCTCATAATAACTATTTTATGTCCTGGCAAATTAATTCCTCTTTGGCATTTTATTCCCCTCCTAAAGCACATCCAAGACTGTAAGATGATAGTCCCATGACACTATCAAACATTCTGTGTATAATGGTTGTTGCCATGTACATATTCACAACAGGAAAAACTGAGATTAATCAGGAGAAACACCTTTCTACAAGTGACTACATCCTATCTGCCGAAGCAAGGAATCAAACCTATAACCTTTCAATAATTAACCCAAAGTCTTACCACAAGACCAGCAAGCCAAGCTCCACCCCACAAAAAAAGATGAGAAAAGTTGACCACTATCAGGAACAAAGTAATTTTGGGAAGAGAGAAGCAAATTCATGGCATGCCTTTACACTGGTCTGAGAATTTCTCTGACATGAAGCCAATGAGGAAGAGCTTTATAAGAAGGGAAAATGTTACTTGACAAATCAGAAAAAAACCCAACTTCGAGGAAGTTCTATTGTATATATTTGGATTTCATTTAAATTCAATTCCACCAGGCTTGCCTTAATCTAATGAAATATTTCAGCAATATTGTAATGTATTCCTGAGAATCATGTAAAACAATTTTAAAAAAATAAATTTGGACCTATTTACTCAATGAGAAATAAATATTGATGATACTTAGATCTTTTTTTAATTCATACCCCAATTTTGATGTCTGATATTTCTGAAGTTTTTATAATTTAAGTAGAATCCAAAGTGCTATCTCTGACAAAAGGTGTGTCTATGAAAAGAAGAAATATGGTATTGACAATGCCCCCCCCCCCCCCCGCCCTAAAAAAAAATAATTTTTTAATGGAAAAAAAACCAGAAGAAAAATAAGATGTTAAAAAATAATCGAGATGTGTGATGATATAAGACATCTAAAAATAAAAAAATCCTCACAGCAGCAGGAGGTGGGGGAGGTCCACTATCAGAAGGTGGTGCTGGTGGTCCTGATGGTGCAGCTGCTGCTGCGGCGGGGCTTGCGTCTGTTGCCGGAGCAGAGCTAGCACTGGACTGAGGCGCTGTGACCGATTCCAGACCCGGTATGGAAGACAACTGAAAATACACATGTGTACATCTTAGTCTTCTATGAACAATATATTATAACAAGCATATATCACAATGCTTCCAAGAAGAATATCAAAAATAGAGAATCCGCACAAAGCACACCTATATATCTATACATCCTTTTACTTTTTTGTGTATTTCTCTTGATTACATTCTAAGATTAAAACTTTTTTCAAACCTCAACATTTGAATTCCCATTCCCCCTACTACACCCATAACTACACCCCCCATTCAACAATGAAACCCTCATGTAGAAAGAAAGCTTAGATGTAACATTTAGCAAGACTACAAAGAAGACACATGTTCTGACTCCTACCAAAAAAAAAGAGCTTTGACTTTTCCTTTGATCCTTATCTTGATTTCTACAACACTTAAAAACTTAAAACACTTACTTTAACTTTTATAACCTTTCCTTTGATCTTTACCTCATCAACTTCCACTTCTATAAAACTTTGGCAACAAACACTTCCAATTTTTACAATACTTACTTTCGCTTCAACTATGCTCAAAGAAATCTCAAGCTGTTGTAAACGTCCAGAAAGATGCTCCAATTTGTCCTCACATACACAGGAGAAATGGTTGAGGAACCTTGCTGTGTGTGTGACAAAGTGATTTATGAAAGCAATTGTTCTCTTTTGGTTTATCGCCTCAACCTGGAACAAACATTAAAAAACAAACAAACAATTAAAGCAAAGATTACTGAGATTTGTTATGTTTCTATACATCTCCAGCACATTTTATTTCCATATAAAGCACTTCCAGCTCTTACGTTAAAAAGCTACTTTCAAAATTTCTTCCCTGGCCAGATATCAACATTTAAAAAAAAGGAACATGAAATTTTTTAAAATGGATAATGGAGAACTTATGCTGACCACATCATTTGACAAATCTCCAGGGGTCTAGATCGCAAGCAAAGTTACGAAAGAAACTTAACTTTTAAGGCGCTCATAACGTTTTAAAAAAACGTCAAAATTTTAATGCACAATTGCCCACACATGTTTTAGTGTTTTTTCCCATCAAAATTCAGTATTACCGACGAGAGATGTAGGGGAGAGATGTAGGGGAGAGATGTAGGGGAGGGAATAGGCGGGAGGGGGGATTAGGTGGGCTTCTTTTCTTCTTCACATAACATTCTGATTAACAAATAAACGCTGTAAAAATAGAAAACTCGGTTTGATTTGCGATAGGAGAAAGAAAGGTCTCAAAAGAGAGAAAGGAAAGAGGATATTTAAGGTGAGAAAGAGCGAGAGAAGGCGACTGAGCGGGACGAGAGGTGAACGGGAGAAAAGAACGAAAGAGATATTTAAGGAAAGAGTGAGGAAAATGAGAGAAAGAGATGGAGAAAGAGAGAGTAAGGCAGAAGCAGAAACGATCCTGTCTCCTTGACGGTCACCTACAAAATATAAAAGTTTGATCAAAATTTTTACAGGAGCCCACACGCACATAAAAAACGCCCCTTTAGAGGCTGAGGTAGGTTTAAATAATTTGTGGATCGACAATATTTCTAAATCCTTTTGTTTGACTGGTATCTTGATATTTGGTGAAAAATTGATTAATTATCTCCTTCAAGGTACCTAAACCCCTAAACTTTGGTGGACATACGCCTTCTTTAAGAGTACTGTCAGTATAATAAGAGTCAATTCAAGCTTCTGCAGTGGAAGATAGTTGCAGATATTAAATACTTATTTATAGAACTTGTACTGTTCTGTGTGAGGTGATAAGGGCTTCAAATGAACAAGTGGTCTATACCGCGATTGTGGCATATACAGGCCTGTAAAAATTATGTCATTATTGGCAATCTAGTCAGTTTCAGTTTCACTTCCTGAAAGGGTATATAACGTTTTTAATTTTAAAATTCAAAAGCACAAGGGAAATATTTAATAAGTCTATTACATTGTACATTTGAAAACAGATATATTGCAGATATAGTTATAGCTCACAAACTTTTTTCTTGGTTTTGATTTAAATTTGTAAAAGGCACTTACTTTTTTTTGGGGGGGGGGGGGGGGGGGGGCAGGGCCATACTAGTTGGTGGGTAATGTCAGTGTAAGAAGATGGGTTATCAAGTAGCCAATGAGTAGAATGTCATAAATTGGCTCTGTATTTGGGCCTGGCTTCCACTCATGGGAATGGCTCACTTCTTTGCAAATGAAGTTAAAAATTATGGATCTGTTTTGTCCGACTAGTGTGAGCATCATATTGAGAACATAATAACCAGTTCGTGAATTGTACTTGTACAGTCAGCACATGTAGTCCAGGCATGCCAAGCCCCACAATTGGCACCATTGGGATATAATACAAACTAAACATAAAGGCAGGTCTCAAGATAAAAACTTAGCTTGAGCATACAATGATACAACTAGGCTTGACAAGTTTGGGCAACTTAGGGTCTTATTAGGGTCACTTGGGCATACACGCCCACTATTTGAAGATTTCCTACATTCACTGTTGTCCTCTCCTCTTGCTCATTTATCCCTGTTTTACCTTTGTATAGTCAATCCCTGGCCCAACAAGAGGCAGACCATCAGAGTCCATGTCAAAGCTGAGAGTCAACGGTCTATCTTGCAAACGAACTTCTGTGATTAGCCAGCCCAACGATACATAAACACTGAGGTAACGCTTCGGCCAGCTTGGAGAGTGAGCGAAAGGGAAAGTAGACGATCACGAGACGGAAGTAGGTGTTTACAAAAAGGTGAAGGTCTTATGATGTCATTCTCCTGGAAAATCCAAAAGTATAAGACTGAACTTGGGACAGAATAACGAAGTGAAAAAACCGATGCGTAAAATTAATTCTTACTATTTTCATCAAGAGAAAAAACCCAGGGAAAATACAGTAAATTTTTCATTTATAAGGATAAATTTATATTGGTATAATACAATGTTTAGTTAAAATTGGAATCTATTATATCGAGAATTTAGTCGTGTCCCATAGCGCCCCCTATGATCTGGGCAAAACAAAATGTTACCCTGTTGTGTTTAGGATAGCATGAAGACATGTTCGAAGCAGTGAAAGACATAGAGCTCATGGAAATAAGAAGAATGACTTGAGATAATAGGACTGTAGGCATGGCTGTTCAAGAGAAGTCGAGTAGATTCATAGATTACTTTGTAATCTGTGGACTGGATGAGACATGCGAGTTGGAACCGGACAAACTGTCAGGTATTTCAGGGTGTTGGCACTGATCTCTTTCAGACTCTACTTTCGATGCGGTCAATAGTCATTCATGTCATAGCAGTGACTTTTATGTTTTGTGTTTGAGATAGCATTGGTATGTTAAGATGAGAAAAAGTTGTTACGCCCAGAACGTAGGGCTGAGCTCTTAGTTAACAGCCTCACAATTGAACCATATTGTCATTGTTCACCCAGCTCATCTTTCCAGTCTCCTGCCTTCATGCCTTTTTTTTTGTGCCTGCCTTGCCAAGCCTGCTGCTACTTTTGTATCCTGTCACAAGTCAAGTGTCCATCCATTTTGTCATGTCAAGTGGTTTTCAAGTGTTGACAGAGGGAAACACTGAGATATATGACTTTGTGTTTCTATCTGCCTTACACTTACTTTACACTTGTGAAAAAACGTTGTAAAGGCCTGTGCAATCCCTGCAAAAATTTGTGATGGTGGTCTTAGATCGGCCTCTCATCTGCTATGATGATGACAACGACTGAAGATTTAAAATGTTATTTGCATGTTCAGATGGTTTCAACAAAACAAAAAAGTCATTTTCAGCTTTTGCATTGAATGGAATTTATGACAATTGGAGTTGGGTTAAACAAAAAGGCGTCATGGAGTCCGAATAACATTTTTTCATTGATATTCGGACTCAAGTCTGAATTTAAAAAATCTTATTCGGACTCAAGTCCGAATATGGAAAAATGTTATTCGGCTCGGGTCCGTAAAAAAAGGAAGTGTATTCGTTCTATAGATCTATCGTTCAGTGCTTCCAATTTTCCGCCATTTTTTAGTTTCCCCCACACCTTTTCTGCCGATCCAATAATGCCCGCCGCCTCATTGATACGCCCCACCCCCCATGTTTCCCACTTTCTTTGTTGTAGATAAAGGTAAAATTGAAGATTAGCAGACCACCTGGCACCTGCACATTATGAGCTGTGTAAAAAAAAAAAAGACCGATTCGTTCAAATACACAAGCCTGTGTCATCTCGATTGTTTACCAAGAAAAAGTTGTGTTGCTGTGTAGAGCTGAGCATACGGCAACGTTTGATTCCATAGACCAGCGCACAATTCATACGTAGATCTACATCAAGACTAGCCTTATTATTGTAATAATGATCAGTTGCCGGGGGGAGGGGGGGGGAGACTGACGCGTATGCGACGTTCAACACCCGGACCGATAGTGCCCCTCCCCGACACGCACACACAGCCACACGTGTGCTGGCCACCCATCCGACCCCGACACATGCTAATGAGCCATCTTTAATTGCTTCTGATGACCTCTTGACAAATAAACATTTATTAGAAGGGCTATAATTTTTCAGGCCGGCCTCAAATTCATCATAAAATAAAAACTCGGCTCCTGCACAATTTAACGCCATTTTGCCCGAATTGATCCCGGTCTCTACCCAGCCTGAGGCGAGTCACGAGTGAGGCAGGACAGGAAGCCGGAGTCACGAGTCACAGGAAGTCGGAAGTGATGTCATGCTGGACAAGAATCAGAGTCCGAATAACATTTTTTCATATTCGGACTCGAGTCCGAATAGTCACTTCGAAACAAAAATACAACCTTAATTATTTTACTCTTTCCGGACGTATCGCTGATATATCGGCTCGAGTCCACACCCCTTGCGGACGTATCGCTGATATATCGGCTGTGATAGGGTACCTCAGTTTTGTTTCGTTTTAACACGATCCGTCATTCTGGTTTCACTTTATCAAAGCGTGGCTTTGGAGAAATAAGTGTGAATTAGATCTTGCGGTCTTGCATCAACAAAACGATGTAACCGGACTCAGTATAAATTTCATCTAAAACAAAAACTGGAATATTGCTTTCAAATAAAAAGCTATCTATGCATTCAGAAATTTATGGATTATGCTCTGGGTCCGCATATAAGAAGAAACTATACTGATTTGCTTTCACATGTTTGGTGAATGTAATTTCTTCCATCAAAATTTATTTTTCTCATCACCATCGCCATTTCTAACCCTTCTAATGCGTATATTTATCATGTTCAAAATTAATCCTTTTTTCATATTGGGATGTATTCTTCATTCAATTTCTTTCAATTTGATATATTCATATATATATGTTACGTTTTGAGTGATGGTTATTATGCTTCAATGAAGTATTAACCTGCATAGCCAAATCGAGCCACCAGTTAATAATGTTTAGTCCCCATAAAAACTACGTCTGGAAAGAGTTAAAGCTCGATTATATAAAGTCACTAGATCTAGATCTCTTGCTTGCTCCTTCTCCTGGCAGAACAGTGTGTATGCTTGTTTGACAACACAATGCCCCATCACGTAATAAAATTATAAAAAGGTTATTAAAGTGTTAAATGACTTTTTTTGTGTGAAATTGCTCAGTAGTGAGATTTCTACTTTCTTGGTAACACAATGTTTACATTGAACCAAAGTAGAGAATGATTGTGTACTAGTAGAAATTAGCTGTTTTTCATACATAAATGTGGTTTAATTCATGTCTTGAAAACTTTCAGGAGACCTTCAGCAAAGCCCACCGCTGGAACGTCGGTACAAGTCAAAAGTTCTTGCCCATTTTCCTGAGTCGTTGCCATCGAATCCTTTTGACGAAAATGCAATTGGAATGGTATATTTTAGTATATTTTGACACATTAAATTACTGATTAAATTTTAACATTGATCAGATTTTTTAGCTTGTAAACTTTCAAGGCTATTCGGTGCTGGTTTTGGTTTAGTTGAAGGTCTACCAGGATGTTTCTGGTTTAGTTGATGGCCTACTGCAGAACTGAGATCTGACAACTTGTGACAAGGATCAGTTTACATATCTCTGATTCAATAGAAAGGTTGGTCCTTAGAAGGACTGTACTGTTCATGTTTTAGTGGTAGTAGTTTTACATTATAATCCATCTTGTCATTGTTGGGTTTGGGACTGTCATTGGCCATGTTGAAATTGCTTTGATGATTGTAGTTTATCGGGGGAGGGGGAGGGTTATTGTTAAGTTTCATTGAAAACAAAAAGATCCTGACCCCAAAAGTTTTTCAACTTTTTTTAATAGAAAAGAAAACCCTACCACCAGTTAAGAAGATGTGTATTTTTCTATTATAATGTTTATGTTAAGCTAAGTAATATTCGATTGAAGCACCTACACCTTAATGATACTGAATGTATTTTTTTTTTTTTTTACAGTTGTGCCTGCCTAGGGGTCTTTCCTTCAAGACACAGAGAGATTCGAGGCAGCCGAAGTTTCACTCCTTTCTTATCACGAGAGAGGACGGGTCTCGAAGCTATGGGTCTGCCCTGGTGTTTTACGAGGAGGTCAGCACCAAGGCGGTGGTGGACACGATGCAGACATTGTACGTCATGCACCAGGCCAACACAGTGGTCAAGTTTTCGCTGGATAGCCCAGAGCCTGTGAAGAAGATCTTGTCTGATCGGAAAGAGAAGCAAGGCTCGTTCGATGCCAATAGAGATCGGCTGTATGTCAGCAAATGCATTTGCCTTGTCACACCCTTACCATTTGTAAGGTGAGAGATGCTGGTAGTGATTTAGTTTTAGGTTAAGGAGGATAGGATTACCTGTCCTACTGGGAGATTTATCATGAGAGTTCAGTTTGTAAAGTGAGAAGGTTGGCTCGTATCATTGATTAGGTTACTTGTGTATTTATGTTTATGTTTAATTGTTTTTGTCAGTACTGGGGGGATCAAAGTGAAATCAATATAACATTAAACTGTATTTTTTATGTGAACGGCTTCATGGCTACACCCAGAGCTCCCGGACCTGGGAAATCGAGGAAATAGTATATGGTTCAGAGTTATAGTGCACATATTACAAATTAAGATTTTTTGACCTTGTTAGGTGGTTTAAGAGTTTCATTCATGGAAAAGATTATATTTGTTGGGTGCTGCCAGAAGCCACAGAACAGATTAAATGTGTGTAGTATCTGTAAGTCAGGTATCAGCATGGTCTGGAAAAATCCTTAAGCATGAAAATCTCTCATGGATTTATTTAAGATGGACATTATAATTTAAAAAGTTATTTTTTTCAAAATGTTTCTATTGTACAGGTCATGCCAACTGTACCTACAGCAGATCTATGAAGCGTCGCAAAAGCCAAGCGAAATAACCTTGACCCTGGAGTCGTATGTGTTCAACCTGATCTACGATGTGCCGTTGCCGCCGCCCGGGAGAAGCATGAAGTTCTTTGCGTGCTCGAATCCGATCTACGTGCTCAGGCCAAGTGAGAGTTGTGTGCATTCTTGAATCCTGTTTATGTTGTTCAGGTCTCCTAGTCTACCCGTTTTTGTTTTGAGCAACATGCTTTTTGGGAGTTTTTTTTCTCCTCTCACAATTCTGTCAACATCCTTGTGTAGCAGTAGTTGCTTGGTGGGTTGGAAGGGGTGGGGGCAGGGATTGGTGCGGTCTGCTTCCATATTTTATAAATATTTTACCGCTGGCTTAGTCTCTAAGCGAAATGTGGCCATTTATGAGCTTCCTCATGAATAAAACAACTTCTAAAAAATGTTATGAAAGAGGTTGGAGTGCACCATTGGTAGGTGTTGCTTCTTTTCTGTCCTTCTGTAGTTTCTGTCTTACTTTTTCTCTGCAATTAGTAAGTGCTATTGTGTCGACTCGCTTGTTCTTTATTCCGACTCAGATGTCAAATATGACAATGGTTCTCTCAGGTGGTAGGAGGGGGGGGGGGCTATTGTTGTTTTTGTCTATCTGCCTTGCTTCTTCACTGCACTATTCGACCGCTATTTCCTCAATGTGCTTTAGTTTTAGTTTACTCCAACTCGAAACTCTCTCAGGTGGCGGTGAACTCCCGATGTTTGACTTCTCGCTCTACGACATGTTCAAGCTGCTGGGCGTGGACAACATTGTGGACATCCTAAAGTGTGTCCTGCTGGAGCATCAGATTCTGCTCTACTCGTCAGGTAACTGTCGTGGTCTTAAGCTTCAGTGCTGTGGCTGGTTGGCTGGTGCTTAGGAGTTGGTGGTTGGCGGATGCTCTGGTGCGGTTTGCTTCTTCTTTCCTATCAAACATCTAATGTCCTCATCTCTCCTCCTTCTTTTTTGTGTTTGTTACTCTCTTGTAACACCTCTAATCTTCAGCACTTGTATAACCTTATTGTACGGCAAGTGCCGTTAAACACTTACGAAAACTAAATCTGGTGCTTGGATGTGGTTTGCTCCTTCTTTCCTGTCAAACATCTAGCGTCCTTATCTCTCCTCCTTCTTTTTTGTGTGTTTGTTACTCTCTTGTAACACCTATAATTTTTGGCTCTATATGACCTAGTTGTGTTGCAAATGTAGTAAAACTTTATGATAGCTCCACAGCTTTTTTACTGTAGGCATGATGAAGTGCAAAAAGTGGAGGATGGTTGACGTGTATTCTGATGGGTTTGCTCCTTCTTTTCTATGAAATGTCTATAGTCCTTATCTTATCTCCTTCTTTTTTTTTGTATGTTACCTTCTAGTAGTAACACCTCGAAGTGCCTGGTTCGCGAGTGCTCTGATATGGTCTATTTCTTTCCTGTCGAACATTTATCATCCTTATCTCCTCTCCTTTTTTGTGTTTGTTACTCTCTTTTGACACCTCTAATCTTTGGAGCTCATATGACCTGATTGTGGTGCAAGTACTGTAAGACTCTTACTAAAGCTAAAAAGCTAAAACAAACACCTCTATTCTTCAGCACCCATATGACCTGTTTGTGTTGCAAGTGGTGTTAAACCATACTAAAGGGTAAAGTGGTCGATGTTTGTGCATGCTGCTTTTGTAATGTATGGTGCAGTCAGAGAAGGCTATCATTTATATTATTTTTTAATCAAAACACTTTCATATCAAATTCATTTTTATTTTGAGGTCTTGATATTTATGTTGATAATTCTTTATGAATGGGTGGAGGGCACCACATCTTTATCCCCCCAACCCTCTGGTGAGTGTTTCTGTTTGTCAGTCTTGCTTTTTAACAGCACTGAATGACCAGTACTGTGTCGATGTGATTTTCTTTACTCGCTCGCAAACACAAAAAGAACATGCATGTCTTGCAGACTTCCAAGTGTTAAAGCACAAAACTGTCTATTTTCTCATTCCTTTACGTTGCGCACATGTCCAATGCCCAACCTCCCCCTTTTCTGTTTGGTTTCAGATTACCAGCGGCTGATGCTGGTGGCAGAGGGCGTGTCGGTTCTGGCGTTTCCCTTCCAGTGGCAGCTCGTGTACGTTCCCATTCTCCCCGCCTCCATGCAGCATTTCCTGGACGCCCCAGTGCCGTTCATTATGGGCCTTTACCGACCGAGAAATTCGGACAAGTCTCAGCTTGTGTTGCCATCAGAGGTAGGGGATATGACTGCTTGGTGTGTTAAAGATCATAAAATGGTTGATAATTCATTTTTTTCTCTGTTCATTATTTCATCAAAGAATTTACACTTTTGTATATGATGCTTTTGTTATATTCATTGCAGTCAGAGAATAGCAGTGGCAATGGCTTTACTTTTAGGCTTTTAAAATTTTTTTTGAAATTCAACCATGTGTTTATAAATTACTTTCTATTTGAGATTTTCTTGTTCATTTTGTAAATAGAACAGGTAGGGGACATGACTGTGCTTGCAGTACTTTGATGCACAAAGATCACTGTGATGCTTATTAATTCATTTTTCTCTATTTCGTCAATGAAATTAGCCTTTACAGAACTTAGCTTGCTTTTGAGATTTCTTTGTAAATTCTCATACATTTACTTGTACATCACTTTCAGTTAGATGTTTTGTTCTTCATTTGCAATAAGTTACACAGTACTTCAACAGTGAGTGGTTGGAGGGTACCTCTTTTAAGTTCTCCTTCTTTCTCTTTCTCTCTGTTGTTTCTATCCCTGCACTATATGACCTTTACTGTATCAGCGTGTTTTTCTTTTCTCAAACGAAGACAGTACTTTAACTTTTTCCCCGCCCTCATTTTTGTGTTCTTCCCCCTAGGCTAACATGTGCTTTGTGGACATAGACAACAGAGAGCTGGAGGTCCCTGAAGATTTGCCCACATTTCCTTACCAGTCTGATCTGAAATCGGAGCTCACACAGGTGTTGAATAAATACCAGACCCTGATTGGAGCGGAGAAAATGTGTCGCAGTTATCCCACCACGCCACGTCGGGATTCGGGTCCAAAAGCGGGTCAGACATTACGTCCGGACGAGCAGTCGACGGCGGGTAGCTGGCCCAATTCCCCCAAACGGAAAGATGTCCTCCAGCAGAGTGAGGCGTGGAAAAAAATCTCCAGCCTGGCCAAAAAGACGGGTGTGTGGGACTCGATAGAAGACATTGTTCTCGAGGATTCCAGCCCGGGCGAGAAGGAAAAGCAGAAAGATTTCAGCCTGTCGCCCCCGCAGAGCTCCGACTACGACGGCATGCCGGTGCCGGAGATAAACGACCTGAAATTCAACAACACCGTGAGAGAAATATTCCTGAACTGCTTCGTGCACATGTTCGCGTCGTATGAGAACTTTGTTATCTTCCCCTCGCAGGACTTTGAGTCCTGGCTGAGCAATCGGGAGAGCATGCACACTTTCGACAAAGCGGCCTTTCTCAGCGACCAGCCGGCGGCCCACCTGCCTTTCCTGTCGGCCTTCACGGAGACGCAAATGTTCACCTCGCTCATGGACAACAAGATTGTGTCGCAGTGGGAGGCTCCTGAGCCTTCGCTCCGCCTCTTTGACTCCAGGATAACGGACCTCCGGGGCGCGGCGGGTGGGGAACCTCGAATCATCACATACAACCCTTGTTACACGATAGAAGACACAGGTGAGATATGTTTGTAACATTTGTTACACAGTAGAAGACACAGATGAGATATGTTTGTAACATTTGTTACACAGTAGAAGACACAGATGAGATATGTTTGTAACGTTTGTTACACAGTAGAAGACACAGGTGAGATATGTTTGTAACGTTTGTTACACAGTAGAAGACACAGGTGAGATATGTTTGTAACGTTTGTTACACAGTAGAAGACACAGATGAAGTGAAATTGAAACTGTATAGGTGTTAATGTACCTTGCAACACTGTAAGGTTATTCAGAGGTGGGACCTCCCTATTTGACGTCCAGCTCTGAAAGGTCCGAGCCAGCTGAACATTTCTGTAGAGTGCATTTCCTAGGGAGGCTCAAACCCGGAACCTGCTATCTCACAATTATGGGTTCATTAGCGTAACCACTAGGCTATCGTGTGTCACATTCGTCACACAGTACAAGGTACAGGTGAGACAAATGTTAATGTTACCTTTGTTTCATAATGAAATTGACAGGTGAAAAATATGTACGTTTGTTTTAGTAGAGGTTTTACGGTGCTCGCAACTGCATACGGTCATATGAGCGCCCCCCCCCCCAAAAAAAAGTACTTAGTCACATAGTAGCAGATGGAGGTGAGCTACATGTTACTCTTGTTGCACAGTACGAGGCACTGTGAGGTTACTGTTGTTGCACAACGAAAACAGGAGAGGTATACAAAACTGTCTTAAGTATGATAAAAGACTCAAATCTGTGGTATATATTTGACCCAGTGACACACGGGAAGACATAATAATATGTTAAGGGAAATTGGAAATGCATCTTTTGGAATATTTTTTAAAGCCAGGTCTGATGTATTCAGTGGCTATGATACAATAAAAGTGCTGAAGGCCTTGGTAAAATGTACTAGTAATGTTTCCAGCTACAAGTATTGAGTGAGGTTTTTTTCCTGCCTTTGTTTAACAGCAAAAAAGTCATCACAAAAATCATGCTTTTTGTTCTTGGAGCATGTGGGACGGTACATGGGTGGTGGGCCCTAGGACTATACATAAGCCCCCAGAACTATTTCTATTTAATCAGTATCAACAGGATCAATGTGGAGGGAAATCAGAAAATGGATGTTTAACACTGCATGAATTGATGAAACTGTTTTCAAGAATATGATCCAATTTTAAAAAATTGTTGTTCTTACTCCTGTTATCTGACTTCACAGAGCAGTATATCGAACGCAGGGCAAAACATGTCGACTACTGTGCCAACCGTCCACACGAAATCGCCAGCCACACCTCGCCCAGCCAGTACGTTGCTGGGGTTTTCCCCTTGCTCAGCAAAGAACTACTTAATTCAGAGCCAGCCAACTCCAAGTGAGTCCTCCACCTTTTTAGTTTTTAATTTTAGTAAGAGTTTTACGGCACTTGCAACCCATTAAGGTCATATAAGTGCCGAAGATTAGAAGTGTTACAAGAGAGTCACAAACACAAAAAAGGAGGAGAGATAAGGACGATGGATGTTTAATAGGAAAGAAGGAGCAAACCACACCAGAGCACCTGCCAATCACCCGCCTCCACTGCTTACATAACAACATTGTGACTGTCATAAAGAGTGGAATGTGGAATGAAAGAGTAGAATTAGGTTCTTTTAGCCTGTCACTTATCCAGCAATGTTAAGAATTATGTAGCTTTAATGCTTCAGAGTTTTTGTATCTTTCATGAGTGAAAATGTGTGGTCATATAGACTTCTCGCGAGAATGTGAGGGCGGGACATTACGCTCGATTGTTCTCATTTTGAAGTACGGTCTGGATGACCCTGGGTTGAATCCCTGACAGCCTAACAGCATTCCTTAACCTTTGGATTTCTAAGGAATTTTCAAGGCTTTTCACTGCTCACTTCTTGTGGAATATTTCATGGGGCATCCTTATACAGGCACTGATAAAGCTTATTGTGATGATTCATTTTTGTTGTTGTCTTGTGTCCTGATTTTGGTGCCGATATTTTGCAGGTTATGTAAAAATGTATTGACATGGTGCAAGTTGCTGTGTTTCAAGAAAAAAGAAACTAGAAAAACACAAGAAAAAGAGAAATTATTCAGTCTATAATGATGATGATAATGATGTTGTGATCATTAATTGTTTATGACGTTTGAAATAAGGAGTGCAGCTCGTTAATTTTTGTTGTTTTGCTCCATTTTCTGACCTGCTAGGCAATTATTTGGTTGAAATGTTTGGTTTGAGCTTAGATCAGGGTGTGTGTAGAAAATTAGAAATTTTGTGTGCAAGAAATTGGAAATTAAATTAAATGCATAGAAAATTGGAAATTGAAAGAAGAGAAAATTGAAAATACAATGTTTGGAAAAAGTAGGAACTGTGTGTTTAGAAAATCAAAGATGTGTTCATAGAAAATGGAGGCACACAGTACAGGGGTTCTGAACTTTCAAACAAAGTCTCTTAGATTTCTACCACATTTAAGACTTTAAAAAAATCCCCCGTAGGTCCAAGTTCCGAGAGAACGCCAAATGGAGGAGAAAAGATCGTCAGATGCAGCACAAGGAACATCTTCAGGCAAACGTCGACCCGGACACGCAGGAGGTGAGCTGGCGCTGTGTTGTCGATGTCGATGTTTATGGCACTTCTTGCACCTGACCATTTTATTTTGTTTCTCTTTGACCGTTTTTTCCAGTGTCGTAACTTTTTGTTGTGAGATGAGAACAGTATGTAACCTTAGGAGGAGTCCACAAAATAAAGACAGTAAAATCTAGTAATTTTTGCATAAATATTTAAAAGATGGTAAAAGAAAATCTCTTCCTTTTTTTTGGGGGGGGGGGTGGGGGGGTTGTGTGTTATTTTCTTTTGGCATTTAATTTACTGCTGTTTGCTGAAAGTTGAGTTTATAGATTTCTCATGTTTTGTTCATTTGAGAAATTAATATAAAACTGTGGTTTCATTATTCCTTTCGTTAATTAGATTTTAAAAAAGGTTTTGGCTTATTTTTTTACTTGATATCTGTGTGGCATTATTGCAGAATAGTTCATTTTGTTGTTTTATCATATTAATTTCCTGTTTTGATTTATGAAGTTTTTAGGGAGAGAGCTGGTGGAGGGAAGTAGTATTTTAGGTTCAGGCTGTGGAATCCATGTGTTTTAGATGGGTTTTTTTCATCCTGTTGTTCTTGGTATGGGATTAACGTTATTATTTGAAGTATTCATCACTTTTACAACTCTCACTGATTTGCTCAAAGTCCTCTCTGGGTTACATACGGCATGATGTCTTTTTTCCCCCTCAAAGCATCATGTGGATATTTTCTTTCCCTATTTGCATTTTTTGTCTTCTTCACCGAATCATGGAATGTAAACCAGTTGTTGTTTTCGTCTTTTGGTTGTTTCGTTTTGTTGATACTGATGATTTTTATGAATGTGCATCTTTTATTTTCAGCATGGGTTGGTTTTGAATATTTTTTCTGCAGAGAATTTTGCTGATGTTGTTGTCGATTTCATTCGTGTTGCTTAGTACTTGATTTTGTATTTTCTGTGCATTTTGCTTAATATTTGGTTTTATATTTTCAGTGCACATGTTGTAAAAGTGTTGTAAGTGAAGTTGTTCCTGTTTAAATCATGCTCCCTCTCCAAACAATGGTTTTGTCTGTTATAGAGTCTAACCAACCACGTTGAAGGTTCTAAACAGTCAAGTGGGTGGTTGGAGGGTACCACTGAAAAGTCCAGTGTCTCAACTCTCCCTCTCTTGTTTCTGTCAGTCTTGTCTGCCTTACCCCGTTCCTGCACTATATGACCATGTTGTGTCGATGGGCTTCTCTTTACTCAGGCGGGTGGTTGGAGGGCGCCACTGGTAGGTCCTACTTCTTTTCTTTCCCTTTGTTGTTTCTGTCTTGTCTTACCCTTTTACTTAATTAAATAACAGTTATAATTGCGTTGATGTGCTTCTCTTCTCACAAACGGAACTCAAACAAAAACTCTTCACTAAAAACCAAATTTAACATTTACACAAAGACAATGTTTACACAAAGACAGTCACCATCCATGGAGCTGGGATATGAATCAGTTTACCCCAGTCTTTCCAATGTGCTGAGGCATATTTGACGAGTTAACTTTCAGTGAATGTTTATCTCAAGGATGGCGATTCTCAATATTTACCAGATTTGAACACCTTTCTCTTTGGAAAAAACTGCAAGAGGATAGGGCCTTATTGTTTTAAGTTTTTCAGCTTAGAAAGGACAGCTTCTATGTCTGTGTTAATAGCCTGTTTATTCATTTGGAAACTGCCATTCATTACAAATGATGAAGCAATTTCGCTGTAAGAATATAGGTGTTTGTATCAGCTAATCAGAGATTATATCTTTTCTTACATGGAAATAAAACACTATATATCTATTTAGAAGTACCCACACTTCTAACAGTTCTGACACATATTGCCCTCAATAATTCTTTCAGGAATTGTAATTGTAATTGTGCTTTGTGAGCATGAACCCCTCCCCATTCTTCAAGCATCATTATTTTATGAGTCTGTCTTCATGATGAGTAACCCCCATTCCTTATTGAAATGTTACAATTTACAGTATGAGCCAAAAGTTTCCATGCCTTAAGTTAATACACTTGTATCTGAAAATAGACTGACAATACATTTTTCAGATGGTTGCCATCAGTTTTTAAAACAGTATCAGATAATTCAATATTTTTAGTCTGTTACTCTTTCTAAGCATGATTGGTACTTTTCAGGCTTTTAGTTAAATGGCAGTTTACATTATAATGTATATAAGTCCTTATTGGATGGAAACTTTTTGCGGCCCCCCCCCTTCTGTGTTTCTCCCTGTCTTGTTTGAGTCTTTCAGTATGTTGCTCACTGTAATCCTTCTTGTTGTAATGAGTTTTTCAGTGTGCTGTTGTAATGTGGTGCTTACAGTGAACTCTCTTTCACAGGAGAGGGACTGGATTATTTATTTCCTCCACCCGTCTTCCTGGTGCCTTCTGTTGTTGTTGTAAGGTTGTCATAGGGACGACCTAATTAATTACCTTTTGTGGATGCACATGACCTCTTCCAATAATGCTCTTGCCTCACGTTTCTTGTGTATTGCATCTTGTGTTATTTTGTTTTGTTTTTTTGTTCCCTCAAGTTTGTCGTCGCGGAAATGCACGCCAAGCTATGGCTTGTAAGTAATCTCGTCGCACCAGGGTGCAGCTTTTTGCTTGCTTGCCAAGTCTCCTCTTGTTACCCCCACTATTGGGATATTATATCTGGCCTTCGCACACAATATGGCTGCTGGTTATAATATATACCTTTCTTTTTATTACTTTGCTTGATCGAGCTCATATAAGGTTGTGGAATTATCTTTGCATATATAAATTTGTATCACCTTTTTTACTTTGAAGACAAATTTGTACCTTACGTGATGTGAATTTTAAAATACAATAACATTCTGTCCTAATATTTTTTGTTAAAGTTTACACTCAAACAATTATTGCAGTGGAAGTCCTCAGTTGAGGAAAAGGAAGATAAATCTAAGCAAACAATCGTTTAAAAAAATCCTAATGAATAATTGAGAAAGAGGGAGGATGTAAAGATTGGAAGAAATGATAGAAGAGAAATAAAGAAACGTTTACTGCGGTCCTGAAGCAACATTTGTCCTCAAGGTAGTGTTGTCCGTATGATATGTGTGCAAGGCTGATGGCAATGGGGATTCATAGCACCTGTAAATATTGCACAGAATTTCTTTTTTGTGAAACTAAAATGAAATTTCTGATCTAATCATCATTTCTCTGGTGCACTGATCACCAGTTGATTGGTATGTGAAATGCACCAAAAGTAACAGTCTGTGTGATATTTTTAAAATCTCGATAATGTCTTCTGAGACAAGGTGCTGGTCCTCGGCTCCCACTCTAAATGATGAGGAATTTACTATATGATTTTTTAAAGTTCTGTCATCCCTTTATTTATCTTCCATTTTAGAAATAAGACAAGATACATCTTTATTGTCCAGATCCTGACGCATTGGTTTGGTGTTTCACCATGTACACACACGCGCGCACGCACGCACACACACACACACACACACACACACACACACACACACACACACACACACACACACACACACACACACACACACACACACACACACACACACACACACACACACACACACACACGCACAAACAGACACACGCACACACACACACACACACACACACACATACACACACACACACACAAACACACACACACACGCACAAACAGACACCCACACACCCACACACAAACATACACAATCATGCAGGCCCACAGTCACATGCATAATAGAAATGAACAGTAATATAAATAATGATGATGTTAAGCTAGATACATACTCAGTATTCTGATTGTAACTCAATGGTATTCTGATGCATGCTCTAAGGTCGTATGAATACTTGTAACAAAATGGTTAAGGTGGAAATAAAGTTTAGCAGTATTTTATTTTTAGGAGAGATTAGATGTCTTGTCACATCAAACATTGGACTTGCCTTGGTATCGGCAGAAAATATTGTGAGACAAATTTCGGCCCCTTGTTTTTATGGTTATCACTCGCCGCTTGAATGTTTGGATTTTGACTGTTGTAGCTCCCTCATGCATTCATGGATTCCATTCGATTTGCTTCAGATTCACCCTTGCCCATTAATTTATTGTTCCGACAGATTACAGTGCTAGTCCAAAGAATAAATTTCGCAATCATGCTTTCAAGTCTTGCATCCGAATCTTTTTCGTATGAATAGCTTGTTTCACTATCAGAGTCCCGGCCTTTTGTGTTTTTGCCTTTCAAAATTAAATGAACTCCCATTTATTAGAGAAATTTGAGTTTAAACTAAAGCGTTAATTAGCAGATTTCCCATATTTTATTAATTACAAGAAGAGTTATTTGATTTTCTTGACAAAATATCTTTTATGATTTATCTCTGATCTCAGAATAGTTGTCAGACGAGTTTCCCCGTCTTCTTGATAGAGTTGATAGAATTGTAAATCTACAAGCTTGTAGAGGGTGTTTACCCATTCCTTATTGCTGATTTGAAAATAGCGGAAAGATGTAGTTTCACTTCGTGATCCTGAAGAGTTTAGAAAAAGAGGATGAGAGATTGGCCAGAAACACTGGAATGGTCATTTGTCGGCCAGCTGATTTATGGCCAGCTTTTGGTCATTATTATGTTTTCTTCTCAGGCATGTGGGTCGTTGGTGGGTACTACTGGTGGGTCCTAGGTCTTTTGATTCCCCTCGTTTCATTTCTCGGTGTCTTTTTACTTTTCCCAACTCTGGTGATGATGATTGTTCAATGCATTGGTGTGCTGGTTTTTAACTCGACTAAACCCCTTTGTACATGTAGGTGCTTTGCAGATTCGAGGAATTCTAACCCTTTGGTTTGAATGGTTTAGATGGTAACATCGTGGTTTGGTTGTAATTCTATTGGTCTGTGAGTTTGGTACGAGCATAAGTAACTGACTCGTAGTTGTGGCTTCTAAAAGAAAGTAAGTTACCCTCTAAAGATTTTTAAAATGATTATTTTCTATGATCCTTTTCAAATATGTCTTACCAATGCTTGCATGCATCACAAAAGAGTTTCTTATGTGAGGAGTACTATAATTTTATTATTTCCTGTCTCCCCGTCTCCATTATCAGCAAACCCCCCCTATATTCTATATATATATCGTCTTCTATAATCACATAGAGTAACAAGCAAATGATTTTTAATATCTTTCGCAAGTATGAAAATAGTGTAGTGACAACTTAACTTTCATGCTGTTTAATAATAATAATAAATAGCATTTGTATAGGGCATGTCCCCACTGGAAAGCAAGCTCTATGCGCTTTACACTGTTTCATAATTTCACAGGTAAACTGTGTTCCCTTTTATGTCTGTCAAAGAAAAAAACGAATCATGTCAGTCATGATTTCTTTCTCAATAATTCAGGTTACACCCCTTTCACTATTCTAAATGAAATAGGAAATAATTTATAGACTCAAAAGTTTGTATCTGCTAAAAAGATTCTTCAATTCAAACAAGTTTTTGTTAGCAAATAATACTTTAATTATACCTCTTACTTGCTGGTTGGCTTGGTTATTCAATTTGTCAGAAAAACTGTCTGTTCTTTTGACCCCGATTTCTTTTGCATGCATAATTTTCTTTCTCAGTTAGGTCCTTACTGTCTCTTGAAATGCCTACAGATGCAGGTGGTCTTTGATATCTTCAGAACAAACCCCAACACAAAATTTAGTTGGTATTTGTGGGTATGAAAATATAGTAGTGTTATTTGGATGTCATTTTTTTTTCAATGTGGTCTTTGTCACCGGAGAGCTGCCTTAAGAATATGAAAAATGCAGCATTATCTTTAAAGCTATCTAAGAACTTCTTTAAAAAAACTAAATACTTGAAAATAAGTGAAAAATAATGTTGGTTTACAAAGTGCTTTTATGTTTTCTTTTTTTTGTTGTTTAGACTCATGATGCCTACTTCTGCCACTCCTTTTTCTTTCTCTTTTGTTGAATGGGTAAAAGGTTCAAAAATTTTTTGTTACACTTTTGCCACACTTTTTAATTAATAGAGACTCATAACTATTATTCTTTTTTTGTGGAAAAGACATGAACTTTGGTTATATGGCCCTAAAACCTCTGAAGGTGTACTGTCCATATTGCAAAACATATATAAAACCAGGACATATTTCTCATCGATACATAACTTTAAAAACAAATTAAGATTTGTAAGAGATGGAGTCTTTGAAAAAAATTGTTAAAGCAGAATGTTTTTGAATATATCTTAGTTGTAATCGAATAAGTGAGACAATGCTTGGCATTCTTTTTTTAAGCACTTCTGAATTGTGAACTAAGTTTTATTTTTGAGAGGTCATAGTCTTTTTAGTGATAAAAAAAGATAGTTGAGACAAAAACGCTTGTTTAAGTAACTGAGTATATGTTTGGCCATCCTCCAATTCTTCGGTAGTGGGGTGGGGGTGCAATTTAATAGTCTTACTTCTTTACTGTCTGTGTTATTTATTTGTCTGTTCCAGTGACCAGAGGGCATCACTGTTAGGTTCTACTTCTTTTCTTACTCTCCGTTCTAACTCTGTCTGCTTGGCTTCCCCCCCTGCTCAAGATTACCTTTATTGTGTCCATGTGATTTAAAACAATTTTTTAAACTCAAACGAGCGTGGTCTCTCACTCTTCCAGCAATACAAAAGAGTTCGCCAGCCCCAGATCTCGGACATGTCAGCGGCCGGAGTGGCACAGACCAACTGGAAGTTTGTGGAGACTTTACTCAAGGAGTGCAAGATAAAGGTAGGAGGTGGGGGCTTCCCAGGTGTTCTTGGAGTGGGGAGAGGAGGGGGGTGGGGAGGGCAGGGTGGGGGCAGTTTGTATGATTGGCAGGTGTTTGGAGGGGGGGGGGGAGGGCACCACTGGTAGGTAGGTCCTATTTCCCCTCTGTTTATTTCTATTCAAAACTCCATTCATTTTACCCTCGGGATATAATCAGCACATTTATTGTGTTTGTTTTTCATGTTATTGAGGGTGGCAGAAGAAAAATACAATTTTGTTGTCAGTGCTCTGTTTTTTTTCGGGTTTTTTGGGGTGGGGGGGGGGGGGGGGGAGGGGCGGCGGGTATCTTTCAGACCAGGTAAACACTGGTGGAGATTGTTTTGTTGTGTATTATGTGATTAAAAATGGGAGGAGGAGGAGAAGAAAATGATGCTGCCAGTGTTTTGTAAAACTTTGTGTTTGTTTCAGACCAGGGAAATGCGGGTGGACATTGCTCTATTGTGTTTACACCATCCAACAACTGAAGATGGCAGAAGAAGAAGTGTATGCTACCAAAACGTTGATTTTTGTGTTTCTTTTAGACCAAGGAAATTCTGATGGAGTGTTTTATTGTGTTTGTATGTATGTATAGTATAAGGTTTTACGGCGCTGGCAACTGCTTAGGTCATATGAGTGCGCTTATTGTGTTTGCTATCATGCTACTGAGGATGGCAGAAGAAGAAGTGTATGTTATCAACCCTTTTGTTTTTGTGTTTCTTTCAGACCAAGAAGATGTTGGTGGACAAAATGGGTCAGGAGGCGGTGGAACTGGGTCACAGCGAGGCCAGCATCACAGGCGTGGAGGAGAACACGCTCATTGCCAGTCTGTGCGACCTGTTGGAGAGAATCTGGTCACATGGTCTGCAGACCAAGAAGGTAACACCAAATGTTTCCATTGTCTGTCTTTCTCAGAGATGCCAATATGCGGATAAATCCAGATTTCTGAAAGGATCAGGGTTTTGCTTTTTATGTTAAGATATTCTTTATTTAAGACATACAAGACATTATGTTCTGTACATTCTGAGTCGTTGCGAGCACGTTTTGACGTATTCTGAAAAGCTCAGAATATTTTTCTGTGGCTAGTGTGTCATGGAAGGCATCACTGTGCTTCTCTTTTCTCAAACTCACTCCTATATTTAATTTCTGTTTATTGACAGTTTGTATGCCTAGGAAGGGGGTGAATTTCAAGGAAGACAAAAAGTGGGTGGTTGCAGGGTGCTCTGGTGTGATTTTCTCCTTCTTTCCTATCAAACATCTGTCGTCTTTATCTCCTTTCCTTCTTTTTTTTGTGTTTGTTATTCCCTTGTAACACCTCTAATCTTCGGCAATTATATGACCTTATTGTGTTGCAAGTGCCGTAAAACTCTTTCGAAAAAAAAAAGGAATATACAAACATTTTCTGTAGCTGATCAATAGAAATTCATATTATCTTTCTCTCGTCATTCTTTCCTCCCAGGGTAAATCTGCGGTTTGGTCGCACTTGCTGAGCTACCAGGAGGTGGAGGAGTGCAACGAAAACAACAAACCAGTAGATCCGAACCTGTTGGCCCCAGGTAATAACGCTGCAACGGCTTGCCTCATAGACGCATTGCTTCTCCCTTTCTCTCTCCCTGTCTGTCTGTCTGTCTTTCTCTCTTTAGTTTCAATACGACGTGCTTTGCTTCTAAGCAACTGACGGGTAAATATTGAATATGATTTCATTTGCATTTGATTGATAGGGAGAGAAAAGATCAAAGAGATGCTTCGTACGCCTTACTTTAGCTTCAGAGCAAAGTTTACAGATTCTTTATTAGTAATGAAATGTTATGTATTTTATGTTCTGAGAAAGGTAGTGCCTGAACATTTGAATGGGTTACATGTGCCTTACTTTAGCTTCTGAGAAAAGTTTGCAGATTCTGTATTGGTAAAGAAATGTTGTGTGTTATGTCCTGAGAAAGGTAGCGCTAGATCTATAGAACACACGAATGGGGTTGTTGGGCTGTCATTGCCTTGTAATATATATATATATATATATATTTAATATCACTTTTGTGATTGTGTGAGAACCCAGTGAGTTTTGGTTCGAATGCTAGTCAAGCCGTAGTAGTTGTCTCTCCTTATAGTTTTTAGTCAATTAGGTATTTTTAGCTGAGTCAGGTCACTTGACGGTAATTCACTGTAAGGCAGGTATTTCTTTGTGCAAGCATTTTATTTTTGTAGACTTCATGTGGAAAGATATAACTGGAAATGAATGGAAGTGGAAAATAATTAATGTATTGAAAAAGATCTCGCTGGCCTCTCCCAAAAATGTGATGCTGACTAAGAGTGGTTTTGGCCGTTACAGAAAAATGAGATGCTGAAGAAGAGTTTTAGGTTGTTATGCAAAAACATGATGTTGGAGAAAAGTGTTTTTTAGTTGTTGCAGAAAAATGAAATGTTGGAGAAAAGTGTTTTTTAGTTGTTGCAGAAAAATAAGATGTTGGAAAAACATGTTTTTTAGTTGTTGCAGAAAAATGAGATGTTGGAGAAAAGCGTTTCTTGGCTGTTACGCAAAAATGAAATGCTGGCAAAAAGAACTAGTCTTACAGTGGTTATTACTGTTGATGCTTGTGGCCGTGTTGCTGCGGGGCTCACATTCTCTGACCCGGCTGAGTTGACTCTGTAGTGGTGACGGGTGTAGAGCTGTAGTAGATAGATGGACTCTGTTGTTTTGTCGAAGGGTTAAACAAATGTTTTTGTGCTCCTCCTGGGTCCCCAAGCTGTAACATGCAGTACTAATTTTGATTCCTGATGATTTTGGTGGCGTTTGTTTATGGGATTTTTTTTCTCTTCAAAATCTTGCTGTGTGTAAACCTATTTTTTTTACCAAAAGAGAATGATGAAATATGACCAGGAATGGCATTTAGAGGAGAGGTGTGTTTTGAATGTTTCAGTTCAGAAACACCTTATACCCTGTTTTTTGTTTTTTTGTTGGGAATGAGACATTTTAGGCTCTGTATCAACACTATAGAGCATTGTTGTAACTGTAATGTGAATTATATTTCAGCACAGTGAACAATTAATGAAATGCTTACTTGTACATTTAGAGTACTTTTTTTTGCTGTCCAGAAATGATACTGTTGTTAGTTTTTCAGGAAAAGAGCATTAATCGTTTATTTGAACATTTTTTTCATGCAAGATTTTAATGGATTCCACCAAATTCATTAACACGCGTTATTGATTCAACTGTGTCATCTTTGGCAGCTAGTGGTGTGCCTCATAGTGGCTTCTACTTAGACAAGTTGCGGAATCTTGACTGACGACAGTATTTTTCTGGGCTGCTGTATTATGTACTCTACATTTTACTGTCTACCTCTAATTGACTGTCATAGCTCTTTGCTCCTTCCAGTGATCCCTATCAGTTACTTGACTCGCCGTTTCTGTTTGGTTGTCGTCAGACCTTGTGTTATGTCCCAAGATTGCGATTACTCACGGCAGTTTGAGCAGAGAAAGATTTTGAATGGAACAGTGGGGCTGAGTGGGTGGAAGGGAGGAAGGAAGGAAGGAAGAAGAAAAGAATGTGAGGTGTGCATATTATCCACAGCATTTATTGAATCTTGCTTCATTCCATCTTTCTTGGATCCCTTTTACCTTATATCCCTATTCATACGATTGTGATCTATTTTGGATAAGTGCATAGATTGGGGTTTGTTTATTTTGGTTTGTCTTTTGATTCATTTTTGGTAATGATTTGAAATGATGTCTCCCATTTCCTACCCCCCAATCTTTCAGTCTCTCAGTCTGACAAATGATATGGATTGACCTTGACTTGTGTGCATTTTTCTGCCATTTTTGTTTGTTTTCTCGTGCAAAGTTCAGTCTTGCACATTCTGGTGGTTATTTTAGTCACATGCCTCGATTTGTCAGCAGCTGTGTGTCTCAGAAGTCCTAAATAATTTTCCTCACCCCTTACGTTTTTATTCTGAATCAACTTGTGAATAATGTTTGCTTTCTGATTTTATTAATGGTTAATCGTCTTCTTGTGAACAAAACTCCTTGACTCATTTTTTGTGATCTTTCTATTTACAAGTAAATCTTCCAGACTTATTGGGTGGATTCTGTGTTGAAAACTTTCGTGTCAGCTTGTACTTTCTTGAACTCTTTCCTAGCATAAAACGTTTGATGGTTTTCCTGTTCTGTCCATTGTGTATTGGAATCAACTGGTTATTTGTAAGGACCCATTATTATTTTTTTTTTAACATTTTAATTTTTTTAATGAGCCTTCTGGTCCTTTCACGAAATCTTATTAGGTATTCTTGTGAAGAATATTTTTTTCCTTCTCCAGCTTTTAAAGTTAATTCATCGTCTTACTTCTTTTCCCTCTTGGAACTTGACTATTGGTCTGTCAATCTCTGCGTATTTCCCAGTTCGAAAGGACCATTCTTGAGGCTATGTGCCACAACTCTTTATTTAGTATTTTATGATCCAAAATATGACGTATTTTGTCATATGTGCCTGCATTTACGTTTTGTATGTTCACGTCTGTCTTCCTCATAGCAGATGTCTCATCTCTACTAACTTTTATGTCCTTCCTCATTTAGTTTTTCTTAAGGGACTGTCTTTTTGTCAGATGCTCCCCTCAGGTATACACGTTTATATATATATTTAAATGTCCGCCCTCCTCTTCACCTTTGACAAGGTCTCCCCAAGAGGAATAGCTTGATCGATCTCAAATCGTTGGTAGATGGCTCTATCACGATTCTCGGACGATCCATCTCGCTGAGCAGTAAGTAACTCGGCGGGGCAGGTAGGCAGGAAGGAACTCCATCCTCCTCCTCCTCCTCCTCCCCCTCCTCCCCAACAGGCCTTGCTAGTGCTGCCCCCTCCCGGCCTGGCGACGGCTGCGGTCGTAGTGTTGTTCCTGTGTAAACTCACCGCTGGCTAGTGTAGTCGAGCTACCTGCATGGATGGGTCACCCACCCCCCCAGTTCCGTGTTTATTCTTACTACATACTACTAGCTTAACTACGTTGTTAACCGCTCTCTATCTCTCTCTCACTCTCTCACCATATGTATTTCATCGACGTTTTGTGTATACAGTTTATTTCCCTCTTCGTTCCCGCCCCTCCGCCCTCTTCCCTCCCCCCCTCCCCTCACTCTTCTATTGATATCTGTGTCTGGCTGTTGTGCTTCTTCCCCTGGGGGTTCAGTATTTCTTTTCGGCAGCTTGCTTTCTTATCTTTCGGTATCCCTAATCTTTATACGAGAAAAACAATTCTCTTATAAGTAAAATCACTTTCTTTGGAAGGTGACCCGAGGAAAATGGGATAAAATTCATGTGCAGGTTGCTTACTTAAAACATGAAAAATATTAAGTAGAGAATCATTGCCATTCAGTGTTGAATAAGAGACTTTAAATAGTTTGTCAACTGCTCAGATGTACTAAGATGTTCCCCAAAATTCAGCTCAAAATTTAGAAAAATATTTTTGTTGCAGTTTCATAATTTGTGGTATCAGTTGCCTGTGTATAAAGAGGATTATTTCGGCAAAATTCTAATTCTAAATGTTTAAAAAAAAAAAGAAAAAGAAAAGATACATGATGTACATGTACAGTGTTAAAAGAGTAAAACTGTTTTTTTCTTTCTCTTGAAAAATTTTGCCTTTTGGTCTTACAACATTTGAGCAGGTTACTGACAAATTTAATGCTCTTCATGATTAGAGGTAACTCCACGAATGGAGCATACGTGACAAGATAATTCCTCATGTGCTGGAGAAACGATAGAAGAAGTTCAACTTACAGTTAAGATACACAATAAATTCTAAGATTTCAGAAAATTCTGTATGGCCTCACCTTAGCTCTTCACCTTGAAGGGAAAGTGCTGCTCTTGCAGGAGTGTTTTTTTACATAAAAGTTTCATTGAACTGATGTAAGAACTGCTCTATTGAAAGTTGATAGAGAGTGGGTGCAAAACTACCATACAGTTTAAATGCAAGAAATGGTATGGACGACAATTTGTACCTGTATTTTTGTGCATGCACAGAGTGGAATTTTTTGTTTGTTTTGTTTCTGGATGTCCTAAAATGTTTTTAGTTTCACAAAATTTTGAGTGTCGTGTTTATTCTCGGTTCACAGTAGCTCCTTAAAGATGTTACCAGAAATCACATTTTATTGTTTTCTCAGTTCAAAAAGCACACGGATGGTGTACAAGAGTTACAATACATTGAACAGGGTAGTTCTGTAATGTGAGATATACAGCTTTGCTGGAATGCAGATTAGTTGTGTTTAGGTTTTATCAAGGGTCAGACACTCTAGGTCAGGTTAGTTCATGGACTGAATTTGACAAATATTGATGTTTCGATAGAAAGAAAAGGCCAACCAGAGAAAGATTTTCTGTTTCCCAAATCAGTGTTAACTTATTGTTTGAGCTTCTCTGAATTAGTGAATGTATGAGAGCTTAGTGAGAAGAATGTCCGGGGGGTTGTCTCAGCTCACGGATACTGGTTGTTGAAAATTCTGAGCTCTAAAATGGTAGCATGTGAGATGGTAGTGGTCATTCTAAACGACGCTCTTCTTTTGCTGTCTGCATGAAATGTCTTCAAGTGTCATCCATGAGGTTTAGACGGGAGGGTCTTTTGCTGCTGGGAGGGTAAAAGTCAGGGGTCCAGCTGTCCTTTCCCCAACCTCTCCGCTCTTGCTCACTCGTACTCTCTCTTTCTCTCCGCTCTCTCTCTCTTTTCTCTCCGCTCTCTCTCTCTTTCTTTCTGCTCTCTCTCCCTGCTCTCTCTCTCTCCCTGCTCTCTCTCTCCCTGCTCTCTCTCTCTCTCTCTCTCTCTCTCTCTCTCTCTCCTCTCTCTCTCGCCTCTTTCCACTCCCCCCTTAATCTCCCTCCTCTTTTCCTCCCCCATATCTTTTTTCTCCTCTTACTCTTCCTTCTAACAGCCCTTTCTCTTTCCTCTCTTCTCATGCTTTCTCTTGTCTCTGTCTTTTTCTTTCTTTTGTCTCACCTCTTTACCCCCTCCCACCCTACCCCCCTATATCTTATAACCAGTAGGACTCGCCGTACCTAAGCGCTTCAGTATAACACACTCCAAACTCTACTCCCCTCACACACACATATACAATGTATCACATAGTCTTGCAGGTAGACCTGTATCTGTATCTTACTCAAAGTGGAAAGGTACTCTCTGTACATCAACAACCAAACTTATAACAAACCGTTTCTCCTCCTTATTCTGTCTGATAACAAAAAGAAAGTCTAACCTCGGTCTCTGTACGGGTAAATGTGTTCCTGATGAGGTCATCAAGATGTATTCTGATCTATTCCTGGTCTCTCTTAACAAATTGTTTCCCCTCCTCATTCTGTCTGATAACAAAACGAAAATCTAACCTCGATCTTTGTACACGTAAATGTGTTCCTGATGAGGTCATCAAGATGTATCATGACCTACTCCTGGTCCCTCTTTTACTCTGCTCTTCTCGCTGTGGTGGACTGGAATATTATTGGCTCACCTTTTTAAAAATCTTGACTGACGAGCTTCTTTTCGCAGCTCCTCTTTTGACTAAGTCGGGAAATGTTTGTGGACAAAAGTTGTGCTGTAGAATATGCCGACAGTTCTGGCTGTCCTGATGTCCTGACAAGTCGGCCCCTTGTCTCCAGCGGAATTATATCCCCCTCCCTGAGAAGCACTTTTGCTGATTCTGTAATTCATTGTTTTAGGGAATCAAGTCG